TCAAAGAGTAGTTCTCAAACGAGCATTCGACACTCCTAGTTCTAGATTCAGCCGTCCCTGGTGACCGGCTGATCGCTTATCTAGGCCGTGTCGGGTGCGTTTGGGAAACCATTTTTGAAAAAGGAAAATGCAAAGAAATAAGTAAAGAAATAAGTAAAGAAAAGATCAGGCGGTTACCTTAGAAGAAGGTACCAAAGGCGCTTGATCTGGAACGTCTACAGTATCAAGCGGACGAGTTAGCCGAGTGTTGGATGCTGAAGAAGCCAAAGTCTTTGAAAGTTAGAAATTCAAGATTCTCCCAAAGATTCACACAAGTGTGAATTCAAGGAAGGTCAACCCTTCTATTTATAGAGGTGGTAAATGGTCTGGGGTAAAAACCTTAGATTCAGGTGAACAGTTTAAGTAACTTTTCGGCCAATCAAAGGCCGACACCTATCACAAGCGCCACGTGGCATGCCACATGACTCTTGTGAGGGGTAAATGATTTAGGGTATTTAATACCCTCATGTGGACCAATGAGAGAGCAACACATGTCGCCTTGGAAGGAATCCATATAGACCCTCCAGATGCGTAATATGTGTCACACATATACGCCCCCTGGAAATGGCGGCCTTCAAGGCCCAAATTCCAAGGGCGCCACAAAACGGCTCTGCCCTAATCCCTAGGTCATCAAAACTTAGGGTAGGGCACGTTTTCCTGAAACCCTATAAATAGGCAGATTCCCCCAATTATAAGGACATTCTTTTGACACCTCGAACTTTGCGTCTTTATCATTAAGGCATTTATTGCTCTCTAAAACAGAGAACACGTGAGCTTGGAATCTGAGCACATAACCTACTTTCCGCATGTTTTACTCGAATTCTGTACTAACTTAATCTTTGGAGGAGGACCTCTGACCATTCGGAGCTCCGTTTGTTTTGCAGGTACAAACGTCCTTGTCGAATCCAGTCTTGAGCTGTAACTGTCCCAAGGGACACAAAAAACCCCCAAAACAGTAATAGTAGTAGTAATCTTTATTAGTGTTTTACCAAAATGCCCTTCTCAATTTCCTAATTTACTTTTTTTTAGAAATTAACTTTTTTTAAAAAAAACACACAATCCACTGATTTTTTATTAAATAAAATACTTTATTTTATTTCTTTTTCTCTATTTCAAATAAATTGTTATTTTACCCAAAAAAAAATCTTCACCGCATATTATTTTAACTTTTTTTAAACAAAATCTTCACAAAAAAATTTTAAATTATTCACACACAAAAAAAATCTTTACAATATATTTTTGTAACGTTTTGTTTTTTATAATTACTCACAATAAAAAAAAAAATCTTCACAAAAAATTGTTATCAATAAGAGATTTCTAATGTTTCACTGTATATTTTTATAAATTCTTCACAGTATATTTTATTTTTCAATAATTCATGTTATTTTTATCTTTTACGGTAAAAATAAAAATGGATAATTATAATAGTCAATTAAATTTTTTTATAAAAAAAAATAAAACAGTTAAACAGCTTAAATACTCTACAGATTTTTTAGTTAAAAAAATTAAAATAATAAAACCATAACTCACAGTAAAACCATATTTCAGTTGGTTAAAAAAACATGGATTTTTTTAAAATTGATCCAGTGAAACCACGTTTCAGTTGGTTACTTAAAAAAAATTCTGGATTTTTTTTAACTGATCCACGTTTTACTTCATTGACAGTTGTCAAAAAAAAAATTGTTGAGATACAAAAGTCCCAGGTAGCCCACATTCATCTACAACGTGAAACATGGTAACTGTACCTCCCAGACCATCTTCATAAAGTAGGAAAAAAGATTCATACTCCACATACAAAAAAAGTTAAGTCTGTATGTTCAATCTTTTATGCTTAAAACTCAACAATTATATTTTTGAGGTTTACCTACAATATGTCTACACCATATGCACCTTCTATATATTTACATCCATATTCTCGAAAGTGGAATGTGAAAGCCCGACTTGTCAGATCGTTTGACATTCAAAATACGAGACATGGTCTTTATATGGAAAATGATTTTAATTGACGCTACGGTAAACCATTATTTCTCTATACTTTTTGTGTTAATTCAGACTTTTATTGCTGACAAAACTTACTAACTCTTATAATTTTAATTTTTTTTTTTTTTTTTTTTTTTTTTTTTTTTTTTTTGTTGTTAGGGAGAGTCAATTCAATGTGTCATGATATCAAATGACGTCGATCAGTTTGTTTGAAAATTACAGGAGGGATTAGTATATTCATTTGAAGGTGCACAAGTAATTGATGTCGACGATTGGTTAAGGTTAATACCAAATCAATACCAATTGAATATAACTCGAGAAACAAAGGTGTCGATTTCTACAATTTAGTTTCCCTACATGGTGTAAATTCCTTCAAAAAATTTCAAAAAAATTTGATAGGTATTTTATTCTTCTTATAATACTACGTAAAATTTGATGTTTTTAAAGTAGTCAGTTGACGATTATATAGATTCTTTTTCTTGAATTCTTGATTACCTTAACTCTAAAAAAAAATTTTGTTTATAATGTAGATGTCATGGGAATTATCATTTATTCAACTAAAACTATCCTGATTGACAATGGAGAGAGTATTAAACAAGACATTTTTATATTCGACCAAAGATAATTATAGATTTTGATTTTAAATCATCCAAATATTATATATTTTCATTATTAACATAATAAATTTTATTGTAGCAGTTGCTTTAGTATGAGATTGACCATATAATTTTGTGAATGAAATTGGCAAACACATAAAACATTCACTAAAATAACATCTTGCTAGGGTGTGGGCTACAAATTAAATACTTTAATGGTAATTTATTTATTTTATATTTTCCTTGTGTTGTCTACTGTATCATTATTATTACTTTTTACCTTAACTTCATTATTTTTCAGGGTTATTATTTTTGACAATGAGAAAATACACAAGGTTGTATATAAACCACAATGATCCTACTTCTTCTAGCTTGATGCAGTGGTGAATATTTTTTTTCTTTACTCTTGAAAACATTCGTTTCTTTGATGAGCATATTTTTTTTTCTTTAGCATGTAATTCTTAATTGTTTTATTTTTTATTTTTTTTTTTGACAAAAATAATTTGATGTTTATTAATATTACTATAGATAATTATAGTGAAGTCCAATAATTTTATATTAGGTGGTTAACAAACTCAAAGCAGTTGATCATGATGGGATTTGTCATAATTGTGTGGCATGGAGGACCGAAACTAATCATCATTCTATCATATATACTTAAATTATTAACGTTTGTTCGTGTGATTAAGATTATTAATGTAGTAGTTATTTTTTCTTTTTCTTTTTCTATTTTATCAAACAATTTTTTAAAACCACAGTCATCCCATAAACGTGTAGATAATTATATACATTAATTATTTGATATGCTATCACCTACAAAATTATTTGACATTAGAAAGCATTGGAATATCACCATTACAACTGGATACTCTTGATATGATTAAAACAATGACACCATTACATTACATAATATAAAGGAAACGTAATGTATGTGATACTACCTTTATTTTTTATTTTTATTTTCCCACTAACTACCATACCATATATATTTATCTCAGGTTTCACAATGATCATTTTGCACAATTACAAGTCAAGTGGATACAAGCATGTGACCTTTCATTTGATAAGGCACTTACAACATCAAATCCACGACGTACAACATCTCAATTTCCATCAATGACAAAAGTAATTTAATCTCAATTTTACCTACATTTTTATTATATTGTTACCTTGTATTACATCACTTAGCTATTTTTAAATGTCTATTAAATATTTTTTTTAACGTGTCATTTATTTTAGGGAAAAATTTACAGAATACTTAGAATGTTGATCGATATAAATGAAAAAAATTTCAATTGGTATAACTCATGCTCTATTTGCAACAATAAGGTGTACTACAATGTTGGTCAAGTAATATATTATAATTGTAACAAAAATAATGTGCAAATTATTCAAGGGTGAGTTATTTATTTTTTATTTAAAGTTTTTGCAACATTATACTTTTTAAGTCGTAGCTTTCTTATTCATTTATATTTTGTTAGGGTTGCTGTTACAATTACTATCAGAGACTCAAGTTGGTCAATGCGTCTAATATTGTTCAACAAACAAATTGAGTTTCTTCTTCGTTCTACAATATCTGAAGTTAAGGAATGGATTGAACCGGTATACTAACACATTTACATGAATATTTACAATATTTATTATTAAATTCAACTATTTAAATTTATATATTAAATTCATTTTTTAACTATTGTCCCACTATATTGTTATAGGTAAATGAGGGATCAAAACTTAAGGAGAAGTGTCAATTGTGTTTGTACAATGCATATGTTTTCACTATAATATCTCCAAGTATGCTTTCTCCTCTACTACCCTACAAAATCAACATTGTGACATCTGTCAATTGGGAAGAAGAATGTGTACATTTACTCCAAAGGTTTGTACTACCTTTATCATTTAATTATTAATAATTTTTCTATTACTGGATACATAATATTTTTTTTTTCTAAATTTTCACTACCTCTAATTCAATCTTCTAGCATACATAATGATATCAACAACTCAGTGAAAAAATCATAAGATGGGCGAAAATCTATCTTCAACTTTTTCTTAGAAACTTTTATGTGTATATGTGTTTGCTTACTTAGATTGTACATACTTTAGAAAATCTCGGACACTTTTTCTAATACTATGAGTACTCTTTTAAGTACTTTAGTGTTGATGAGTTCCTTTATGTAAATATTATATTATATAGATTTTATAGATATATCTATATTATATAGATTTTATTGGATATATGTATAGTACTTTATTAGATATATTTTAAGTACTTTAATTAGTTTTTTTTATTAAATTAGATGACAAAAAACAAAGATTTTACATAATCCAAAAAAAAAAAAAAAGACAGCAAATCTCTTTACTCCACGCTTTAAAAAAAATATTAATATGTATATAAATGTGAGTTTTAGAGTATGCAACTATCTCCATATTCTAGCTACTGACGGGCACAATAACAGTAACATTAAACCAGGTGAGGGCAGTAGGAGCTTTAGAGAGTGGTGTAATATTTGGATGGAAAAGATCAAGGAACCAAAACGGTGGGACATGTTTTGGTTTCTGGCGTGGGGTATTTGGTTGAAAAGAAAGGGGTGGGTTTTTGAAGGAAAGGGTAAAGATGATGCTGTAATTATTCACAAAGTTGCTGGGTTGATTGGGGAGTATGAGGATGCGCTGGAGAGAGCTGTAAATGTTAACCCCATTCAACATCTTGGGTCTATATGGAAGTCACCTGAAGTTGGATGGTATAAACTGAATTTGGATGCTGCTGTTTTTGGGCTGCAGCAGTTGGGAATTGGGGGGGGGGGGTATTGCGTTACAATAGTGGAGATGTAATGATGGCATATTGTTCATCTCTTCATGGGACTTTCGAGGTTGATGTTGGGGAGGCAATGGCTATTAGGGGTAGTATGCTAACAGTTATGGAGGCCGGGTTTCAAGACTTTTTGCTTGAAACTGATAATATTAAGTGTTTACACAAATTTCGAGTCTAAATAAATAAATAAACACGGGAAATAAAATAACAAATGAATTTATATTAATATATGAATTTTGTGTACAATCTCTATATAAAAAGTTTATAAGTCACTTTCTCAAACATTCCTTCCACTTCGTTGCATGCTACAGGAAATCAATATGGATCACAACAAACCCAATCACCCAAAAAGCCACAAACACAACTCTCCTCCCTCCCCACCAGCAACTCTCAAATCGTGGGAGGTGAGAAATGTCCTGCCAATAACGACTTTCAGAAATGGAAGTCACCCCCTCCTCACACACCAACATTGGAGAAGGTGACTCTAGGGCTTCCAAATTTTGGTGCAATAGAACCGGAGTTAATGAATTATGCGAGGCAATACAAGCCAGGCTCGAAGCAACTCCTGAATTTATTCCCTCCAACAAAAGTGATGGATTCTCTTCCCCCTCCATCATCAATCAGTCGATGGATGGTGCTCTGAACTAATGGACTTCCTCCGGAGGAGGGAGGAATGGATGCTCAATCCGCCGTCGCGGCTGCTATTTCAAGAGGGATTACCGTTGCCAAAAAGAATGGAGGTCGTGCCCTTGGTGTTTGTCACTCGAGGTCACAACATCAAAGTTCCAAGTCACCGTATAGCTATGTTCGTAACCAAGGAGGAAGTGGTAGGAGCGCAAATTCAGGTGAGTTACTATCCTCTTCCGAACGGTTGGCCGGAAATTCCCCTGTTAATGACTCTGATCAAATTAGAGGATGTGGGTCCCATGCAAGCTCTGGAACATTGGATGGACAGGGAGAGTTATTTTCAACCGTTCCTGGTTCAAGCTCACCCGGGTGATTAGTCTTATACCACCCTCCAACGTTCTGTTCCAGCTTTAAATATGAAGATCATCGTATGGAATGTTCGGGGTGCAAATAATGAGGAATTTGTTGCTCATGCAAATGATATAGTAGATTCTCATCATCCTAATTTTTTTGTCTTCTTGGAAACCAAAGCTAAGTCTCAGTGTGCTAGGCAAGTTGTTCTTAAATTAGGGTTTTATGATTATAAGGTTATTGAACCTAATGGGCGAAGAGAGGGGGTTTGGATCTTTTGGAAAAATGGTGTAGATCTTCTGAAATTTTATGATCAAGGCAATTTATTTCATGGTCTTTTCCATTTTAGTAACAACACTCCGAAGGTAATGCTCACTGGAATGCATGCTTCGAGTGTACCTAAGGAGCGTCACTTGGATTGGCAGCGTCTCAAGCAATCTATTCCTCCTAGTGACATGTTGTGGTTGATTTTGGGTGATATCAATGAGGTTACAAAGCAATCGGAGAAGTTGGGAGGTCGCTCTTTTAGGACTAGCCAATGCAATTGCATTGAGTTCACTGATAAGCAGGGGTGGTGGATTTAGGGTTTAATGGTGCTCCCTTTACTTGGACAAATTCTAGAAAGGATGGTGCTCTTATAAGGCAACGTTTGGATAGGGCTATCTGAAGTTTATCATGGCTTGATTTCTTCCCCTTCACCAAGGTTTTTCATCTTACTCACACTAATTATTCAGATCATTGTGCCCCTTGTTAATTGATATGAGTAATCCATCTGTGAAAGGCCCTTTTCCCTTAGATGTAATGAGGTTTGGATTGAACATCCCGATTTTGCTAATTTCTTTGTTAATAATTGGACTCAATCGAATTATAACTTTCTGTTAGGGTTGGATAATTTTAGCAGTAATATAAAATCTTGGAATTCGAATATTTTTGGTAATTTAAATAAACAAAAAAAGAAAATTTTACCTACATTAGATGGAATTCAATTATAGTTATCCTATAATAATTCGAGTTTCCTTAGTAATCTTGAGCAAAATCTTTTAAAGGATTTGGAGGATATTCACAAACTGGAAAGAATAATATGGGCTCAAAAGGAGGGGATTAATTGGCGTAAATATGCTGATCATAATACAAGGTATTTCCATATTTTGGCTAAGATTAAAAAAAGTCAAGGAAAGATTTTAGCTCTTAAAGATAATGATGATGTGTGGGTCAAAGATTGTGATAAATTAAAGAGTTTGGAAACAGATTATTTCATGAATATATTTAAATCAAAATTGCAATCAACTCTGTCTTTCCGGGATATTTATTTGCCAAATTATACCCTCACTGACCTTGATCGTATAGCCATGTCTCGTATCCCATGTTTAGATGAGGTTAAAGAGTGTTTATTTAGGATGAACCCCATGAAATGTCAAGGCCCTGATGGTGTGCAGCCTCGTTTCTTCCAACATTTTTGGTCTGATCTAGGTCCCTCAATTCATAAGTTTGTGCTTGATTGTTTTAATTTGTGGAGGTTCTTGCTAGTGTTAATAAATCATACATTGCTCTAATTCCCAAGATTGAAAAACCTTCCAAAATTTCGGAATTCAAACAAATAGGTTTATGTAACACGAGTTATAAATTGATCACCAAATTGATTTCTAACAGAATAAAACCTTTTCTCACTAAAATTATTAATCCTCTTCAATCGAGTTTTATCCCTGGTAGTGGCATTAAGGATAATATTATTGTGGTTAAGGAAATTTCTCATGTTTTCAAGAAAGCAAAGAAAGGAAAAAATATTTGTGCTCTAAAGCTAGATCTTACAAAAGCTTATGATAGCTCAGAGTGGTCATTTATTGAGAGTACTTTAAATTTCTTTGGGTTTCCTTTCAATTTTAGTAAATTAATCTTGAATTGCATTTGTTCTCCTAGTATATCTGTATTGTGGAATGGTGAAATCTGTGACTCTTTTTCTCCTTCTTGTGGTATTAGACAAAGGGGATCCATTATCATCTTATATCTTTATTCTTTGTCTGGAGAGATTGTCTATTATGATTGAGCAACATGTTGGTAGAAAACTTTAGAAACCTATTAGGCTCTCATCTTCCATTCACATGTCACATATTTTTTATGCGGATGATGTCTTCCTTTTTGGTAATTCCTCCACAGAAAATGTCAATGAGATGATGTCTGTTCTGAATTCTTTTGGTGATATGTCTGGCTTGAGGTTAAACCAAGCTAAATCCTGTATGATTTTTCCCCCAAGCATGAACCATTCGGTTAGAACTAATATTGCTCTTTCTTTTCGTTTCAAGTGTTCTACTTCTTTTGGGAAATACTTAGGGATTGAAATAATCCAAATAAGCTCAAACCTTCTCACTATTTTGGTCTTCTTGATAATACTATGGACAGGATTAGGGGATGGCAAGCAAAGCTTTTAAATCTTTGCGGGAGATTTACTTTATTCAAATCGGTTTTAAATTCCTACCCGATCTATCATATGCAAACTAATCTCATCCCTTTCACTGTTCTTGAAAAATTGGAACAAAGATGTAGGAAATTTGTATGGAACAAGGTGGATAGTATTCATTATAGTCCTAGACTTGCATGGAAATATGTTACTATGCCTCTTGCTGCTGGTGGGCTAGGGATTAGAAGATTAAGAGAATGGAATGTGTGTTTTATGGCTAAGTTAGGTTGGACTCTCTTAAATAACCCTTTGAAACTTTGGGTGAAAATATTCAATGAAAAATACCTAAAAAATTCAGCCCTTTTTTATTGTGTTCCAAAATCTTCTCATTCACCAATATGGAGGGATATTCTAAAGGGACGACATCTTCTTGCTTCGGGTATGAAAATTGGGATAGGTAATGGTGCTACAACTTCGCTTTGGTACCATCATTGGGTAGGCAAAGCTCCTATTTATCTGATCATATCTAGTGAAGTCCCCCCTTCGATGGCAGGTTGGTTTTAGTGCCATTATTAGGGATAGTGTATGGAATTTGGAAGCTATAAAACATGTGCTACATGCCTCCCTTATTTCTGAAATCTTAGCAATTCCCATCTCTAGAGTTTCTAACTTTGATGATTTTATTCATTAGTCGCTATCCAAACCTGGTGAGTTTACCATAAGTCTGCATATCACTTGCTTATTTCTTCCTCTTATCATCCTTTTCCTTATTTTGACTCGTGGAAATCTCTTTGGAAAGTGACTGTTCCTTCAAAAATACAAGATGCTTCTTTGGAATGTTGTCCACTCCATCCTCCATGTGGCTGAAAAATCGACAGTTTTTATGCCATTTATTTTCCCTATATGTGCCCGATGCAATATGTATAATGAATCACATTTGCATCTCTTTCAAGACTGCTTCTCTTCTACTATTTTATGGAAAGACATCTTTGCAAAAATCCATCTCCCATCTAAATTTAATTTTCATAGTTTCTTTTCTTTGGATTGGTATGATTGGACTAGTTTAATTTAGCTTTGGAATTGACATTGGAAAATGACTTTTAAAATAGATATATGGCACATATGGAAGCAAAGGAACACGACATTTTTTGATCTGAAAATGTTTAATTCTCGAATTATTTTTAGTCGATTCATTATATATTATCAGTGTACTAATCATATAATGCAGGGCAAAGCACATATCACTGACAATCCAAGCAGCTTGAATGTTCAGAATTCTTGGAGTCCACCTCCAAAGGGTTGGGTCAAACTCAATACAGATGGAGCTTGGACGACCATTAATGTTGCTGCTGGAGGGGGAGTTGTGCGTAGGGATGATGGAACTTGGATCATGGTATTTTCTAGCAAATATAATGCAACTACAGCCTTTGCAACTGAGTTGCTTGCGGTTAGTGAAGGAATTGCTATGGTCAAAAGACTTGAAGTTAAGGATGTGGAGTTGGAGGTAGATGCTCTTTCCCTTAGTGTTATGCTCAAATTATCAGGTAGCACTCTTCACCATGATTTAGCAGCAGTGGTAAAAGACATTGAAGAGGATATCAAATACTTTGATACCATTGAAATCCTCCATGTGAAGAGGAACAATAA